AAACAAGCCTCTCCAGATGTATTTTGAGATGGTCACAATGACAAAGTTTCCAAGTGGAGTAACTGACGTTTGTGTGACCGCTCCCAAATCAGATTATTGGGCCTTTTTAAAATAAATAAAATACATTGCTTGTTTTTCCGACATGATTTGAGTGTACCAGTCAGTATTTTGTCCCAGTGAAACATTTGCTTAAAAAACAAAGAGAATTATGACAAATCTAGGCCAGATAAAGAATAATTTTAGCACACTTTTTGTTAACACTGTTTCTCATGTCCCTTCACACATGTTCTTACAGTGTCTGCAAACAAGGAGTTCTTCGCTGTTCAGGAGAAACAGAAGCACCAGGTAAGTTTTCACATACGGACACATTCAAATCCCTATAATTCAAACACTGTAGACAGAATGCTAATGTGGTTAATTTACATTTGTGAATGTTACAAAATAATTGTTAAATCCTTTAAAATACATGTCCACTGAGAGTCATTGTCTCTGACAGAGAAAGTCAGTTATTGCAGAGGCCTGTTGAGCGGCCAAGCATTTTAAATCCTCTTCCAGATCATGAAGTTTTCAGTCTGAAAGAAATGTGTTCATGCTAAATTGCAGGGAATTGTTAATGGAATTATGCATAAGACATACTGAATTTTGACATGATCATAATACCTTTCGTCATGCCAATGAAGCTCTCTGAATTTGGTGTTTATTACCCAGTCACACTAGAATGTGTTGCCCCCATGGTGTACATCAATTGCGCCACTGCTCAACCTGGGACCTTTGGGACTGAATGCCAGAGGACCTGCAGAACCCTGGACATGCCTTGTGTAAGTACAAGAAAGTTATGTCAGTTAGGTCAGACACTTAGACTTACATGTACATACCTTTTTTTGACTCACTCCCTCTTCTTGCCTTCCACTTTGATGGGACACAGATCAGCACACAGTGTGTATCAGGCTGCAAGTGCCCAGATGGCCTGGTGTCAGATGGAAAAGGAGGCTGTATTAATGAGGACAGCTGTCCATGTGTGCACAATTCGAAGCTCTACCAGCCTGGAGAGACACTGGTGGTGGACTGCAACACCTGGTTTGTACAAACTCACTAGTGTGTGTGTGTGTGTGTGTGTGTGTGTGTGAGAGAGAGAGAGAGAGAGAGAGAGAGAGAGAGAGAGAGGAGAATGGGTGATGAAAATTAAAGTATACAGCCAAGACAACATTGGAGTAACTTCCAAATAAACCCTGAGGATGGCAGTTCTGCAAGAAAGAATTGTATAAATTGTCCAAATCCGAAGAGCCACACCTGCAATTCCTAGAAAAATGGGACATCTACATTGTTCAGATCAGATCTCAATGATAAATTATTTTCAATAAATTACAAGAACATAAACAAGTAGTAGACAAGTTTAAACAAAAGTTCACCTAGTTCACACTGAAGATTTGGAAGGACCAGGGTCCAGCACACTGTACTATATAAACAGACTAGAAAGCTTTTTTGGATTTCAGTGTACATAGATATTATTGATAAGAATTTTGTTTGTGTGTGTGTGTCTCCCTAGTTTGTGCAGCGGAAGGAAGTTCAGATGTACCAAAAATCTGTGTGATGCAGTTTGTGGAATCTATGGCGATGGTCATTACATCACATTTGATGATAAGAGGTTTGACTTCAGTGGACTGTGTGAATACACACTCCTCCAGGTAAGGTGGCAGATGGACAAATATACAAAGGTTAAAGGTGGAAACTGTTAAATGTTAGTCTTGGTTGATTGGGCAAAAAAAATGTGGTAACCAGGGTAATGGGACTTGTAATACATTACAAGGAGTCTTTGTATCCACTCTATGTAAATAAAAAGAAAAAAGAAAAAGAAATGCATAGTAGTAGCTGTATTAATAATAGGGCTTGATTTTATGAAAAGTTTAAAGACTAACTGCATCCATGCCTTTTTTTTCTTCTTTTTTTTTTAACCTAGGACTACTGTGGCAGTGATCAGAACAAGGGAACCTTCAGAATTAACACTGAGAATGTGCAATGTGGAAACACAGGAACCACATGCTCCAAGACAATCAAGATCTTTTCGGGGGTAAAGTCAACACACTGTCTCAAGCACTACATCCAAATATCAAATTAATATCGAAGTAAAGTGAGTTATCAATGTTTAGTTGCTAAACCCTTTCAATCATGACTGATTAACCTTATCAAGAAATTTAAAAAAAATATTTGTCTGGTGGGATAACAAAAAAATGAGTCAAACTCCATTGAAATTTGACTTCAATTGGAGCACAAGTTTTAAGAACAACATTAGAGTTGTTCCATCTCAAATCATAAAGGGCCTTCTGCTCAACCATCTCTTATGTGCTTAAAACTATAATCATAACCAATAGATATTTAAAATGGCATTGATGAAATTTAAGACTAATATATCAAGTACTTTCCAAAATAATCTTTTTTTCTTCTTCTTCTTCTTCTTCTTTTTTAATTGCCTGTAGACCCACTTGCAGTATGTTTTTAGCACATTGAAATTTGAGGCCGTATTTGAACAGTATCTCAGGAACCATTAAAGATAAAAGCCTGGGATATTTACTGCATTTCTCATCATGCCACTGATTCAGAATCTGCAATATTGGACAAATAGATCTAAAAATCTCTGATTATGGTTAAATTTAAGTAAAAATAAATAAATAAATAAATCCATCAGAAAAAGTACTGTCTTTAAGCACACCTTAACAAAACAATTGATAGTGTTGAAGTCAACTAGTGATATTATGTGAATCATAAAAAGGAAAATAAAAAGTTTTTTTTGGTCAACTTAAATTATTATTACTATTATTATTGCCAGCAGGCTTCTGGTGGCCGAGCCTTGCCCTGTGAGGCTTGGTACAGCCTGAAAAAGCAACATGGGGCCTCCACCCAGCGGACCCACTACCTACAAATTAGGGGTTAGGTGCTATGCAGATCAGGCAGTGGACAGGAGAAAGGCACCTAGGCATGTCCTGGTGACATAGACTGGTTGAGGGGACTTGGAATATCAACCCACTGGTGGGGAGGGAACCTGACCTGATGTGGGAGTTGAAGTGGTACCAGCTAGATATAGTTGGGTTCACCTTCACGCACAGCAAGGGTTCTGGAACCCTGGCTTGGACTCTCCTTTTTCAAAATTGCCCAGAATGACACGGGCAGATGTAGGGATACTCACAAGCGCCACCTTGTTGGAGTTTCCCCTGGAGAACAAGAAGGTCACCTCTCTATTACTGCATGTTGTGGAGAGGAAAACGCTGACTGTTGTCTCTGCTTATGCACCAAACTGCAGCTCAGATGAACCCAGCCTGCTTGGAGTCTCTGGGTGGTGTCCTGGAAGGGGTGCCACCTGGGGACTCCATAGCTCTCCTGGGAGATGTCACTCCTGTGGGCAATTATGGTGAAACCTGGAGGGGGGGTGATTTGGAGGAATGGCTTGCCTGATCTAAACCTGAGTGGTCTTCTGTTGTTGGATTTCTTCTGTTATGACTATGATCATGAGTTCTGGTTAATGACTGGAAGAATGAGATCATGGGGACAAGTGGCTGAAATGAGTTTCCTCCGTAGGGTGGCTGGGCTCAGCTTTAGAAATAGGGTGACGGAGCTTGGAGTGGAGTCACTGCTCCTTTTATTGAAAGAAGCCCGCTGAGGTGGTTTGGACATCTGATTCGGATGCCTCCTGGGAGACTTCCTTTGAAGGTTTTCTGAGCATGTCTGCTTGGGAGAAGTCCCTTGGGTAGACCAAGAACTCACTGGAGGGATTATATACCTCAACCAGCCTGGGAACACCCAGCAATCCTCTCGGAAGAACTGAAAAGCATTGCTGGGGAGAGGGACGTATGAAATGACCTGCTCCCTCTGCTGCCTCTGCAACCCGACCCTGCATAAGCAGAGCAAAGTGGATGGATGGATATTTTATCCTCTTAATTTTTCAGGCAAATCAGAGATAGTTGAGCTGAAATTGTTGTAAAGATTTGATGATTTGACATGGAATGACTCAATAATAGAACTTATTTCATGGTCAAGCTATAATGTCGATGCCTAGAATTTAGCCAATATATACCAGGCGAAAAAGTGTGAGTCCACACATTCAGTGATGCTGCCAGTGAATTTCAATACTTGTATTGCCATGCAGTGGATTTGTATTTGTGTCACTGTGAGGAAGGAGATGTTTTTGTTTTTGTTTTTGTTTTCCAGCTATTAGGGAATCAGAGTTCCCTTTCACAAAATTGCATTTAACTTTTCAGGTTCATTGAACAAGTGTATATTTTTTTTCCACCTAGCCTAAATGGTACAGAAATAAATGTCTGGTTATTTGTTGTTGTTACCCACAGGATAATGAATTCCAACTTAGTGATGAGAAATTCCGGGTGATGAAGGGCACCATCCAGTTCCCTACTCAAGTGCAAAAAATGGGTATTTACTTGGTGGTGACAATCAAGCCTGGACTTGTGCTCATGTGGGACCAGAAGACCAGTCTTTTCATTAAAATCAGCTCACAATTCCAGGTAAATCAGCTCGGCTTGTCTTGATTGGCAACTAGCTTTCACACTTATACGTGGTTAAGGCAGTTTATTTCATGCTGATTTATTGTCATGATATATTATCAGAATTTTCACAGGCACAGCAAAACATTCTGTTCCACAAAGAAACTTATGTTTTGCAATATAATTTAACAACATGTTGATGCCAACTGTAATGTAACTTACAACTTAACTTATGTAAAGGACTTGGAACAAATTCTCCAAGAAAATTAGATGTGAATACTTATAGAAACGGCCCCCTAATCAGCCCTTTCAGCCTTTCTGTTTAAATTATATTGTGGTGAAATCAATGACAAATCATAGTTACATAGTGACATAATTCCAGTTCTATGAGCATGTAAAAAATAGAACAAGGGAGGTTTTTTATGTTCACTTATATGGTAAATTTCACTTTGACAGGATTAGGCCACTTGTCTATCATTACTATGCACAGACAGCAATAAATTCTATTATTTTTTCTTTCCTCTCAGGGTGAAGTCTGTGGTCTGTGCGGAAACTATGATGGTAACAGTAAGAATGATTTTACCACACGCTCACGTGAGAAAGTGGAAGATGTTCTGCAATTTGGCAACAGCTGGAAAGTTTTGGGCAGCTGCCCAAAAGCCACACTTGTTAGTGACCCCTGTACCTCCAATGCTTACCGGGCAGCATGGGCACAGAAACAGTGTAGCATCATCACGAGTGCCACCTTCCAGAGCTGTCATTCACAGGTAACCATGGTGACGGAAAACATATTCACACACAAAAACACTACCACTTTGTCTGTCGTGGTCTTGGTGAACGAAGTGCACTGCCAAAAATATCAAAAAGTTTCTATAGAAGAAAGAAGTGAAAACTATAACCTGGCCAAATATGTCACCTGACTTGTATCCAACAGTTGCCTTTGTAGTATTTTTAAGAGAATATTAAGAGCAATACAACCCCTTGTGCAGAGAGTAACTGTAATAAAATGTCTTAAAAATAGTAGAACACTGGTATTCTCCATGCAGAAGATGAGTGACTCTGTCACCAAAAATAATGGTGTGCAAAAAAGATGACGGATGGAAAAAGTAAATGATCTGATTCTCAATAATAAAAGGGGTGCAGACTTTACTTGAACTGGGGCCGTTCTGTGGGATCTGTATTTTTAATATAGTAAATTGCATTTTTGAAATTTAAATGGGGGCAAATACCCAAGTTTTTAACATAGAAATAATGCAATTACTGGAAGCTGATACAATTTGGACTAAATCAACACTTAAGTGATATCACAAAGGGTTGTATTCACTTCTGTTGTATGCAATGGCATACAAATTCTCTAGAGGCATTTTTAAAAAACTGAAACTAGGCTAATAAGTAATTACAAATAAATATTTCACTGAATGGTAAATGGACAGCATATTATCATTATCTGTGCATAGTATTATCAATTAGATTCATTTTTTTCACATTTTGCTCAAGAGTACTTCTCAGGACTAATGTCAAAGGTTCCGGTTCAGAGAGCACAGACCTGTACAATTAATTCCTGCTTTGAAGTATTGAATATTAATGCCAGAAAATATGGTAACAAAAAACTACATGACACGTTATAATTGTTTTCTATTATAACACATATTTTTACATACAAAACTAGGTATGGCCTATTCCAATTTCTGGGCTCTACCAGGAATATTGTGGTTCTAAGCTTTGGTCGAGCAAAGTTATATTAGGCACTGTTTATCAGATAAATATAAATATCTGGACTAGATAGCCATAGTCCCCAATAGGGGATTTCTTATGGTTTTGTTAACTACTGATCTTCTAGCTCCAGTATCCTCCAATTTTTATACAACTAGCTCCAGCAGTGTAACCTGTGTGATTACTGCTAACAGTGTCACTGCTGCTACTACTGACACAGGTAAGCATTTTGCTATCCCTAACCATAACTTTTCTGCTGAACAGTACATTATTTTGTCTTCAAGGTTGACCCTGGTCCATACCATGATTCTTGTGTGAGAGACTCCTGTGCTTGTGACAATGGTGGGGACTGTGAGTGTCTCTGCACTGCTGTGGCTGCTTATGCCAAAGCTTGTAATCAAGCTGGAGCCTGCGTTAAATGGAGAACTCCAAAGCTGTGCCGTAAGTGTGGAAACTATCACATCAGAAAATCCCGATCTACAGGATTTAAGGATTTAGAGGAAGTCTTGGGTTCTGACACAAAATCAGTAATTGTATCATTGATCATATGACTTTTGTCATATTCAGTAACACTCAAAGTGTGTACCAAGAGCTTATAAAGACTTATTTTGTCATTTGCAGCTGTTTTCTGTGACTACTATAACGCCCCTGGTGACTGTGAATGGCATTACAAACCTTGTGGTGCTAATTGCATGAAGACATGTAAGAATCCATCAGGAAACTGCTCCGCGCTCATCACTAACCTGGAAGGTACATTAGATAAACCATTTAGCATGTAATGTTCTGGACAAGTGGAATTTCTGTTTTTAATATGCAAGTCTAGTCAACTGTCTTGTTTATAGAATAAAAGCAAATGTTGTTTACATGTATTCCTGAAGTAGTTTTTAGACATGCATGTGGTATTCCCAACCCCAACGCCACAGAACTGTGCAGGGCCAATACTTAGGAGCAGCATTTAAAAAAAAAAAAAGAAAGAAAGAAAGAAAGACAAAACAAGAATGGGAATGGGAATGGGAACTGTTTTTCTGTAATTCCTCAAGGTCTGTCCTTGATGGAGCAACTATGGCTCAGTAGATAGAGTGGATTGTCCACTGATTAAAGGGTTGATGGTTTGATCTCCAACTTCTCCTGTCTACATGTAGAAGTATCCCTGGGCAAGAAATTGAACTTCAAATTGGGGAATGCAAGCATTTTTCTGCCATCAGTATATGTGAAAGGGTGGAGGAAAGAATTTGTAATGTGTTCTGAACAAAAGCTTTGCATCCTTTTTGTTTTATTTGTTATTCTACTAACATTGAAAAATTAACGGTATTGCAGGATGCTACCCACAGTGTCCCCCAACACAGCCCTACTTTGACGAAGATACTATGAAGTGTGTCACCTGGAACCAATGTGGATGCTATGATGATAAGGGCATCCATTACAGCATAGGAGCTACGACTCCATCAAACAACTGCTATAACTGGTATGTCTTGTATCAAGTGTCACCCTCCCATGAAGAGCTTAGTACACAGGAGGCAATAATGTAAATACTAGTTATAAGTAAATATAAATATATAAATTACTTACTTTTTTTTTGAGTGCTTGTATTCTTACTTTAATCGTTTAGGATGGGACATTTGGGGGGATTTTCATTTAGGCTCACTAGAAGATTTTGAGGTGACATTTTATCATAAATCGTCAAATACAAGTGAGCTCACTTTTACCAGTGCAGGAACATTTGTGGTGGAAACTACTAAATTATGTCAGTAATATCTGCAGAAAATACCTTTTTTGTATGCATTATTTGCTCTCTATTTTATCTGTTTTTCTAAGACTACATAAATCATGACTCAATCAGAAATTGCATTGCTTTTAGGTTGAACAGTATTTTCTCTTCAATGACCTTAAAATCCAACAGTTTAGATTCACTGTTTTGAAAACCAAAGCCCAACAGAAAGAACTCTATGTAACACAAGTCAGTCCACATTTCATTATTAGATTTTTTTCAATACCATGCCTTTCCACCTTTATTTGAAATGACAGACTAAATCCTCCGCCCCATGGAGAATACAAAATTTCTGTACAGATGTTCTGTCATTTTTCAGAGACTATTTTTTAACCTGATATTTGCTGAAGGGCCTGTGTTGCTCAAACTTTCTCTTTAAAATAGCTCAAAGATGTTCTGTTGAATTTAATTAGGCAACATACTTGGGGGATTTAGTGTGTTTTGGATCATTATCATGCCAAAATTGTCTTTATTGGCCAGCCATCTGGAGACTGGACTTAACTCAACAAATGGATCTTGGTCTCGCCTAAACAAACAATGTGCTGCCAGAATCAGGCTTTTTTTTTCATGTTCTGGCAGTGTTTAGCCAAAGAGCAGGAAAGGGTGTTTTTCTTGAATGCTGTCCAAATAGACTGAAGCTGTACAATGTCCTTCACACTGTCTGAGCCGTTATTGAAATTCTAATTTCCATTAATAACCCCTGTCCCAAGTCTGAAATCCTTGCCTGCCTGGTTTTCAAAGCTAGACTGTACAAATAGAACACTGTCCATGGAGTCATTGTATACAGATGTGCACAAAGACTGAATTTTCAACACTTTTTACAAAGTAATCATTTTCGATTGTTCATAAGAGGAAATACTGGTCCACTTTGAAATTACGCAATTAGAGAGATAAAACAATTTTTGCTGGCTGATCTAGATATCTTCACATTCACTAGTGCATGCCAGTGTTACGACTCTAGTACAATAACTGGTGACTGTGGGCCAAAAGCGATAGTAGTTTCAAGTAGTTACAACAGCTGTTATAAATAGGAGACTGCATAGCATTTGTTTTTGTTTTCACTGTAAAAACAGATTTCATTTGTGTGTGGAATTTGACTGACTGGTCACCCCCTTAAATATTTAATTGCATTTTTAACATTGCACATTGACACAAGCAACAAATAGCTCAAATTTGTCTTTCACTCGGATTGCAATATCACAACATACACATTGGCTTGATTTTTGAAGCTATGCTTCCCTACACTGTATGGTAAATCACACTGACTTCATTTTAATGTCCATGGTTTTAAAATGAGATGGTCACAATCACATGTGGGCGTAATAACAAGAGTGCAAAGAAATTACTCTTCTAGTGCTAAATGCATTTCTGCGCAGGACCATTGTAGACTGTAAGGTATTCAGCTCTGCATACTTGCTCCTACAAATAACACTGGAGTAAATGTTGCATTGTTTGGAGCTTAGTGCCACATTCACAGTTCAGATCTTGATTATCATTTAAATATTCTCATTTGTGGAAAGAAATCTTGCAGCAGCCGATGCCAGTCCTTAGCCAGTTGAGACATTTCCACTCGGTCCATCTGTGCTCTGCTCCAGCTGGAAGCTCTTCCCTAGCGTAGAGTATCATTGATGTAGCTGGTGAAAGACTTGAAACTCTTTCTTCCCACATAGTGACTCTCATACTCTCTGAAGTGGGTGCTGGAAGAGGTTTGACACTCTTCAGGAAGCTGTTCCTGGACACCAGATGGTTAGCTGCTATTACTTGGTTGAAGAGAGGATGTCATTGTCTTCATCTTGATGCTTATTCTCTTTCATACTGGCTATATCGTCTCATTGGAGGTGCTATCCCTGCCAGAATATGTAGGCTATCTGTAGGTGTTGGGTGTACCTAAACCTATTGCCTTGTTAGGTTGAGGTCAGAGATGCCTGCCT